GGTGCCTGTCTGCTTCCTCACTCCTCCCAGCGTTTAGAGAGTGGATTGGGAGACAGTCTTCGGACTGCCTGGTACTGTACTGCCTGGACTGTATTTTCCCTGCCTTCCCTGAACCTTTCTTGACCTAAGAAAAAAAAAGAAACAAAATATCCCCCTCTAGTGGTCGAAGGCAGAATAGCAGCTTCCCATTAGTTTCTATGGACGAAAAAGAGCAGATACGGATCAAATGGTTTTCAATGCATTCCTATGGGAAATGCAGATTTGACCTAAGAACTTTTTGACTTGAGAACTGCCTTCCAATACGGATTAAGTTCTCAAGTCAAGACCCCACTGTACTTAAAGGCATGCATTCTGCAGAGTGGCAGAGAAAGCAGACTTTCCCCTTGACCTAACCAGGCACTTCCTGGGTGCCCCCTTGGCCGCCTGCCTGAGGAATCCACCTTGGGCTAGTGTGGCAATGAATGTTAGTCCTTGTTCCATCTGCAGAAGTGCTTCCTTAGGCAGGTAAAGAGGGCTGCCTTGCTTCTGAAAGATCTGATGTTCTTGTGAGAAAATCATTAAAGAGGCCTGGCGTTGCATTCAATAACTAGACAACTTGTTCATTTTATTCCTTTTTATTGATCTTATTTTTTGAATATACAACCTTTCTTCTTGATTTGGGACCTGTGGCAGCTTGGAATAAAAATGTTTTTAAAAGGAGTAGAATTTTGTGCTTAAAACACAACCTGTTGCTTTGTTATGTGTTCTACCTCCTGTGAATCCTTGCCCTTCTCTCGCAGGTTCTCCAGGGGACACGGCGTTCCGAGCCACCGATCAGGGAAGCAATAACGAAAAGCAGTTCAAGAAGGTGAGCTTTGGAGGGGAGCTGCTCAAAGGCAGGCAGGAGAGGAAGGAGTCCAGGATCAAATCATAGAGCCATGTCACGGGGTGTGTGTGTGGACAATGACCTGTGGGCTGCAGGAGGGAGGGTTATCCCTGCAGCCATTTTCATGGGCCCCTCCAACCTCTCTGCACGCACCCCCAGTTTCTTATCTTTTAAAAAATCTTTCTTTTTAAAAAGCCTACCTGTGTTTTTACAGAAATGCATGGGGGCTTCCAATGTTGGGGGAAATGTACCCATGATTTGATGAGCCTCTGGCACCCCTGGGACTCCCCATAGCCCCATATAAATAGATATATTTAGGCAAACCTTTTTCCGTTAACAAAAACCCACTGAGGTGTCTTTATAAGGCACAACTGCTGTGTCAGGAAAACATGAGGACTCGCCCTTGGGAATCCACCCCTCGGGTGACTCGCAAAGCTGAAAAATGGCCTTTGGCCCCAAAGGGAAGGTGGCAGGAAAATGGAATCAAGGAGGACAGGAAGGGGGGCAACCCCCACCCACCCCAACCCGGGGCCCATGCCGCAAAACCGGCTCTGGAGGGCTGGGGTTTTCAGTTTGAAAGACAAATCATTGTATCAGTGCCGAAAGTACATAACCGGTGTATTCAAGAATCAAACATGCAAGTTGGTCTCTTTGGCCAACCCCCATCCCTTTCCCCTCACCTCATAGGAAAGTTACCCTTGGGCTGCAGGCAAATCTGAAAAATGGCCCTTGGCTTCCCTGAGATTGTCTCTCCCCCCCACCACCACCACCTGGCTTTAGGGCAAGGCATACTCCTTTTCGCAGCCTGTGGGCTGCAGGGGGGAGGGCTCGAAAGCCACACAGCCACGAAATCAAAAGATGCCTGCTTCTTGGGAGGAAAGTGATGATGAACCTAGACAGCATCTTAAAAATCAGAGACATCACCTGGCCGACAAAGGTCCACATAGTCAAAGCTATGGTTTTTCCAGTAGCGATGTATGGAAGTGAGAGCTGGACCACAAAGAAGGCTGACTGCCGAAGAATTGATGCTTTTGAATTGTGGTGCTGGAGGAGACTCTTGAGAGTCCCCTGGACTGCAGGGAGAACGAACCTATCCGTTCTGAAGGAAATCAACCCCGAGTGCTCACTGGAAGGACAGATCCTGAAGCTGAGGCTCCAGTACTTTGGCCATCTCATGAGAAGACTCCATGGAAAAGCCCCTGATGTTGGGAAAGTGTGAGGGCAAGAGGAGAACAGGACGACAGAGGACGAGATGGCTGGACAGGGTCACCGAAGTGACCAACATGAATTTGACCCAACTCTGGGAGGCAGTGGAAGACAGGAGGGCCTGGCGTGCTCTGGTCTATGGGGTCATGAACTCAGCTTCCAAACAAAGCCAAAAGCCAATCATCCTTCCTTTTAAAGAAGGAGCAGAAGTGTTGTGGACTCCACCGAGGAACTTGGATCCAGCCCAGCGGGCAACTGAGGATACGCCTGACTTACTCTCTCTGGATTCGCATCTTCCAGGGCATTTGTTTCTTTGTTTTTATGCGTTCAGCAACAACAACGACCATCCCTGTTGGGCTTTCGAAGGGAAGGCCCTTGTTTCTCAACACTTCCGTGCACATCAGATGTTTCTGGATGGTTTCATTGGAGTGCCTTGGGGGCTGCACATGGGTCGTGGAGCCCATGGCGCCCCTCCCTCGATCAAGGCAATGGTGGACGAAGGCCCTTGATGAGGAAAACGTCTCGGCAACTGTGGCAGCTAGACAACCTTTGAAAAGAGAAGGCAAGGAAGAAGGTGTTTCCAGAGGTGCTTCACGACAGACTTGGGGGGGGGGACTTGTTTGTGGGCTGCAAGTTGCACACACTTGATTTCGGAGAGTGAAGTGTGTTTCCCAGGAGTTCCTCTGGATTTGTCTTGTCCCACTTTCCCCATCCTTCATCCAGCCCATGTTACTGCCTTTGCCAGTGTGACTTTCGGGGGGATTGCTGGCTTCTGCAAGTAGCTGCTTCCCTCTCCCCCCACTTTTTTTAAGAACCTGTAAAGACTCTCCCCAGAGCAGTGCTGAACTCCAGAAGTATCGCTTCTGTGAGGGAGCCAACCTTTCCGTGCGATGGAGAAGATTGCCTTTGTCCCTTCAGGAGGTCCTTTGGCTTCTCCTTCTTGCCAGTCAGGTGAAGACATTCCAGGATCACCTGCCTGAGCAGAGTGTCAGGAAAGCTGTTTTTGCAGCTGGCCTTGGCAAAAAAGATCTGTCCATAGAAGGATACACCTGTTCCCGGATAAAGGAAGTATGAATGCATAAGAAGTTTTTGCTCACAGCATTCCCCAGGGAAGCAAAACTTCAGTGCACCGACTTTTTGGTAGCACCCTGTGGGTTTGTAAACGGTCACTGGGATCCTGCCAGAACCAAAGTGCAAGGGACTTAGGGCGGGGGTGGGGGGCTCACATTGACATGTCTTGTGCAAGGAGGTATCCGAGACCTCCTTGTTAAAGGCCGACCTGGCTGTTCAAAAGGGGCATCGCCACTTGAGTGAGGGAGACCCCGGACTAGTGTGCCACACGGATGGATGGATGTCGAGGGGGTCCTTGGCCTCTGTGGATTTCAGTTCCAACCCTGTTAAGAAATACATCCTCAGCTGGTCTGTATTTGAGCTTCATGTATTTCTTGATTCTGTGCATTTTTGAACCATTAATTGCATTCAGATAAATAAAAATCAACCTGATTTGAGCAGAGTTGGGGGCCACTGCACAGGCATTTGGGGCAACTGATTTAAAAAGGAATAGGTCCATTTCTGCCTTTAAATGTTGTTGGCATGTGAGAGGTGAGACTCCTCTTGTTCCGTGGACCTTTCTGGACATGGTGGGCTCCAAAAAGTTCACCAGAAGCACCGACGGACTGAGAAGGAATAGATGTCTGTGGCATTCTCAGTGGCACTGAACGCTGCTGCTGCTGCTGCTCCCCAGATAGCCCACATTGTCTTATTTTTTGTGGGGCATTTTCCCCAGGCCTCATCTGGAGTGGTTGCTGTTGGATTTATGTTGTTGATTTAATTGATATAAACATATTTTTATCCTGCCTTCCTCCTTAAAAAGAGCCCAAAGCATTGAAGAAGTGTTAATCCATTTGAAACATTTTCCTCTTCACAAACCTTTTTAACTCTGTTTTGATTTTATGTTCCTGAGCAAGACGACTTTGGGCGAATACGTTTCTGAACATGTCTTACCGCTTTGTCCATATT